CTGGCTGGCTGACTGGCTGGCTGGCTGACTGGCTGACTGACTGACGGACGGACGACTGACTGACTGGCTGGCTGACTCACTTACTGAGACTGAATGGCTGACTGATTAACTGAATGACTGCAGACTGACTGAGTGGTTGACTAATTGACGAAATGACTGACTGACTGTCAGAATATCACCCGAAAAAAAAAAACTAAACACTAACTTAACCAAATGTGATAGAATTTTGTACTTCATTGCCAAGGCTTTAAAGGATTAGGTAAGCCATGTTTCACTGACAAAACAAAGAAAAGTTCACCAAAGCTCATTTACGCTTCTAGTAATTCGTCACTGACAACGTACCTATTTTAAATGGTTGTGGTACATCATAATTACTTCCTTTAACATACTCAGTGGGTTTTCTGTAATACTCGGGATAAACCACCTCGTCAACCTAAAGAATTGATACAATTAAAACAAAAGGTATTTTAGAATTGTTGGTCCATGAAACTCAAATAACTTGTAATCCATCTTCACGAATAGCCCATTTCCGAATTACCCTTGGCCTCTTTTTCAAAACAGGGCCTGGTGCTCAACCATTCTTGTGAAAATGAGTTTAATTTGCATGTGAATGAAAACTTATAATCATATGAAAGGATGAGCACCAGGACTCGTTTTGAAAATGAGGCCAAGGGTAATTCGGAAATGGGCTATTCCCCTTTTAGGTCAACCAGTATGGACCGCAACTTTTTTTCCGGTTGATTTTTGGGATTGGCTGTCACTCTTAGCGATAAAGCAGAGGGTCTAAGGCCCATCACAACAGAAAAACAAGAAGACAACAAACAAACCACAAACGTAATACCATTTCTTTCTTCTTGAAGCCTTTCTTGGTCTCTTTCGGCTTAACGCTGCAAAACGAGAGCAGACATTTAATTGCATATTATTCAGCGACGTTTGAACTCTGCCAATCTATCTTCTCAAACCTTTTCTCCCTTTGCTTCGGGTTACATAAGTTTGCTTTACATTCCAACTGGCTCAGTCCTTTGATTTACTTGGTCGCAATTCGAAGTCACATTACTCTTAACATAGCTGCATCCTTATATAGCACGCTTCATCTAATCCCCTCAGTCAATTTATCATCGATGTTGGAATTCAGGAAGTAGTGAACAAGTACATCTCTTACTTGAATGAAAATGCCTCTGGCGTAAGGAAAACACAATCTCCTAGCTTGTATTGCACGCCGTTTACGTTGCACGATCTAAAGGGAAGGAAAGATTACGACATTTATGTGGGGTGCAAATATAGTATATACATAGAAATAATCATTACCACGATACGAAAAATTTTTTCTGTGAATTAGATAGGGGACAACCGTGACGGCCAAACACATTTCTTTCCGAAAAATTTAAAAAGTTCATAAATAAAAAACCCTAATTAAAACGAGTAAAGTAAGAAAATATACATACTTGTAATATGTTTTAGAAGAAGGTTTTGATTCCCTTTCCAACGGTTCCTTTACTGTTGGAGTTTCTAGCTATAACATGTTTGATAAGATATATGTAATTTAGTCAACTCAAGAAAACAGAATAAAAAAAACAAAGAATTGCAAAGATAGATGAACTCTTTGGGGGAGCACTGACATACAAATAAGCCTTTGTTTACGTATTTAAGCGATTATACCTGCTCTTGTGCTGTCTGTCGCCTACAACTCTCACAATATTTATAATTTCCTCTCCTATCTTTACCAGTAGTGTACTCTGAGGGGGGATCTGTAAATCGACCACGTTCACAATCGTACCTGAAACAAAGAGACACGTTAGGAGGGCAATATTAACTTGAGAGGCACATAATAGATGTACACATTTGGAAGTAAAGACCTCAGAGCTTTGTGACTGGAATATTGAAATGATAAAACAAAACTTGTGTTCAAATGAAGGATGAGAGAACTTATAAACCAGTGCTGCATCATGCCAACTAAACTGGACCTGTTAACATTTTTTATTACACCCTCAAGAATTTTCCGGACTGATAAACTAAAATGCACGAGAAACAAACTTTATAATACCAGGGGCTAATTAATTGCTCTGGAAGGACACCAGAGGACCAGGCTCCGGTTGTTCAAAGGGCGGATAACACTATCCAATGGATAAATCACTATTCAGCGGATAAGTGTTACCAAAACGTACAGCGCTATCCACTGGATAGAGATTTATCCAGTGTATAGCGTTATCCATCCTTCGAACAACCGGGGCCTGAAGGACAACTCCAAAAGCAAGAACAAGAACCAACGACTAACCCACCCCACCCAAGACACTAAGAATATGACGTAAACCTAACCCACATTAGGGGAACCTGACTATCTTTACTATCTCGTATCCTCTACTTTTCAAAAACTTTTCCTTACCATTTCTGATAGAAAAATGTGTTCCCATCATCCTCTTCCATCATGCTGTCAGCTTCCTGCTCTTCAAGTCCTCCCCTCTGGAACCAATCAGCTTCTGGTAACTTATGCGCCACCTGTTCATTCAAAGGTATACATGTATGACATATACTATACGCCTGTGTTTTTAAAAAATTCACAGACTTTCCAACCCAGATTTATTATTGTATAATAAGCATTATAAAAAAAGGACTGAGGGCAACAATAGAGCCACATGTTTGCCAAGAAGACAACAACTTAAGTCAGGCTTTTTCTTTTATCCACAAAATGTAATGAGAAGGACTTTAAATGACCATACTATATTTTCAGATAAACTTACAACACACTTCTGTACAATAGAGCCAAGAGGGTTGTCATCACATTCGTCCACAAGGAACAGCTCAGTAGAATCACTTGTTTCACCCAAAATGGTATCTGAGCCACGGCTAGCGCCAACAACATGGTATGGAAAGAAAATGTGCAGTATGTTTGTTACTCTGGCACACAATGAGTTTGAAAAGTTTAGAGGAAGGTACCAAAAAACTAAACAGATGTCTTTGCTACACCTATATTGTTATTTTACCTGCTTCATTGCATGGCTGTACAGAAAATAAAAAATCTTATTATGGCTTGGATTGTTTCATCATTAACTGATCTACCATGTACTAGTAAAAATAAATGCCTTAACAAAGATTTTCTTAAACACAGCATGCACAATATTGATTGAGAGACGTGTAGTGCACTTCTTAACATTGCTTTAGGCACAAAGCATTTGGTTTGTACCTGAACCATCTGCAGTGAAACAGCTTGTCACCATTTGCTGCCTCCCACATGTAGCACACACAGGAAATAAAGAGTGGCATATGAGGATCCTCTGGACGAACCTTCACAAAATCTCCCACATGAATCTGCCACAAATCAAAAATTGGTATTGGTTTGTGTTGACAGCTGTAATGATCCAGGATTCTATGCAGACGTGAGAATACAAACCTCTTGGCTGTTGATGAGAACTGACGAGTAGTACTTTTTCTTTCCACTGACTTCCATGGGATCTCCTATCCACTCAACTTTGGTCTAAATAAGAACAAAAAATATTTTTAAAATTCTTCTTCTTTAGAACCCCCCTCCCCTAAAAAAAAGATCATACTTTTCATGAATGAAATACAGCTGCATATTACTCAAGGGTCTCCTCAAAAAAAGACAAAATTTGTGCTTGTGTATGATTTCTACTGAAAAAACAAAGTTTTTACATATTGACCACTTCCATAAATGGCTGCCAAATTGATATTCCTCCTTCTACAGTTCAAAATTCAAAAGAATGCATTATCTCAAGCGAGGCTGGTGAGGCTAATTTGAATTTAAACAAAAGAATATCAATCTGGCAGCCATTTATGAAAGTGGTGTATAGAAGAACAAGAAAAACATCTTTACTGTCACCCCTTTACTACCTGTCTCTTTATTCATAATTATACATCAAACATTTTCAATACTAACACTGTTCAAGTGCAACTGTGATGAGTCAAACATAACTTTGTACTGTTGCTTGTATTTACAATGAAGACAAACAGTTACTTACAGTTAAGCAAGAGCTGCACATGGTCTTAAAAATGTAAAACTCACCTCATTTTTCCCTTTCTTTGACTTTGCAGTTTTGTGTGTTGTTTCTTTCTTTTTTACCATTTCCTTGTTAGGTCTCTGGAATAGAAAAAATATTCACAAAATAAAAAACTATCTCATAAACAACAGCAATTAAAATGTCTTTATTTTACCCTGCAATTTACTTACCATTTTCTTAATTTCTTCACTTTCTTCAATGGCTTCTTCATCATCTTCTGCTTCTTCAACAGCCAAGTTAGGACATCTACATTTTAAGACAAAAGTAATTAAGCCTCAAGGAAAAGAGAATAAAATAAATAATTTTTTTGAAAGCCAGTACATGGCAAATTCAGGGTCATGGAAAAAAAAAACCTTCTTTCTTCACAGCACTGTTTCTTTCTCCCAGTTCCCCCAAACTTGACCATATCCCTGCAGGATTTGCACTTTCCACAATCTGGCTGCTGGCACACCTCACAAACTCCACATCGCTTCCTTCGAGTTGTTCTTGTTTCTTTACCATCAATTTGATCTTGGAAGAAAATATCAAATATGTTCCGCACTAGGGGTGTAGTGGTGGCCTACAATAAAATCAGTTTCAAATTACAAGGAGGCCTTTAATACATGTTTGAACTAAAACCCAAAAGAGACAAAACTGCTGTAATGTTCAAAGGGGGTGAGTTTTTAAAGAAAGTGTGCTGCTGTATCAATGGGGGAGTCTAACAAGATAATTTGTTTTTATCAACTGAGTTGATAATGTAAATTGGCTCACGCAAAGAGTTTCAAAGCTGATGTTTCAAGTGTTAGCCCTTCGTTAATCAAATGGAGGAATTGTGGGTTGTGTGTGTGTCTATATGCAGAAACTGGAGCTACGCTATTGGTGGGAACATGATAATGAGAAATGAAAAGCATTTGTTGATACTGTGAGGATTGAAAGTGCTGATTTTTAAACTTTTGCTGTAATGTTCAGTTTTATAGTGTGAGGTCAGAGGTCTGCCAAATATACAGTGATAACTTCAGTTAATAACCATCCAAGGTTTCTCTTTTCAATATTGTAAAATTTTTAATCTTGTAGCACAAAAGTGATGACTTGTTTTGTATTTGTTGGTGTACAATAACACTAACTTTTGATGGGCCTGTATCTTTCTTTATCTTGTCTAGTCGGACTTTCACTCCCCTTGCAGCACGTCTGAATAGAAAAAAAGATTACAACTATACAACATCTGAAAAATAATTGACTGAAAAAATTCTTACTTAGGAAATGCAATGCATTAATACAAAGGATTGAAGCAACCAATAGATGAATATTAATTTTTTAACAAACCAGGAATTTGAATAATACTTGAAGTAACAGGTCATTATCCTTGGTACACTATCTAAAGCAATATACATTTTTTACTAAGATATATCTTGAAAAACCATGATAACAGATGCATAATTAAGAAATCCATGTCATTCAAATCCATGTCATTCAACACATGGTACAGGGACATAAACATTTTATGTTCTTCCACTTCTTAAATTCGATAAAAAGATGTTTGTCTAACAAACCTTTTTCCAAGTGTAACTCCAGCTAGCTTAATGAGAGCACTCATGCATGGTGTCACCAACAGAGGGACCTCATCATCATCAGCTGCTTGGTCATAACTTTCCACCTGAAGAGCGAAAAGCAAAGATTTAAAGTTAACAATTGCAAACTTAACTGATACAAAATGAGACTAGATGCCTTAAAAAAATGACAGGTACTCAAGACAAATATTCTAATTAAAAGAACATTATATTGTAGTTTTCAGCACCATCCTCCTGAAGGATTGATACCAGTGATTTTCAGAGGAAAGAAATTCTTTTAATTTATTATCCCATACACCTCTGGGTGGATTGTGATCAATGTAAATGTATGGGTAGGAGATTATTAAGTGATAAATGAAAAGTTTGTACCTGTTCCACAAGGAACTGGGCGTGTCTCAACAAAGTGTCTTCGGTAAAAGTGTAACAGTTTTCTGGAGGCACAGAAGTCTTGGAAAAAATAAGATAATAAATTATAGATTATTAGATGTTTCACAGGAGTTGACATAGATCACTCATCTTAATATTGGTTTTCTATGTCATGCCTTAGAATACTGTACTGAGCATTGCACAAAATTATTGAGCACTTCTTAATGTGGACTTACATGGAAACACACACCACTAGGATAGTAGCCACACGTACACATCGATTTTTAGTTCTATTTGCAGAAGTCCATAGCACACTTACACATGACAGCTCCTTTTCTATGCACAAGTTTGTTCATTCTAATGGACCTACCCAAAGTTTCCCTCCTTTGACAGATCAGATACACGCTTAATTAAAGAGCTCTTCCTAGTTGTAAACAGTATTAGTTGTACAATGATCCTAAGAATTTGATAGTTTAGGAAATTAGCTACCTGATGCTTTTAGTCTAGATCTGTGCATTTCATATTGTCAATTACTGAATAAACACTGTATGACAACCTTTTAGTTGCTGCTTCTTATCTCTCCTTCTTTCTTTTTAAATTATGGTTAATAACAACAAATACATCAACATTGTGTCATTACCTGTACTTTATTTAGCAAGTCCTCATATCTTGCCTCTGGATTATCTTGTATGAACTCAATGACAATCTGTAACAGAGGAAAAATTTCTGACCTTAATTCAACAACTTATTATAATAATAATAATAATAATAATAATAATAATAATAAATGTTCACTCACAATCAATAAAAAGTGAAAAGGAGATGAAAGAGGTTATCACTTTCTAGTTTATCTCCTGATAATAAAGTAGATTACGACATTAATTTAGATACAACTATATATATAATTATAATACATCAAAAATGAGAACTTGGCATTAACTAGCAAAATTTACGAGGTGACCTCTCAGTCTGTTCTTAAAAATATTCAAATTTGCTGCCTCAGGAATTTCCTTTGGCAGATTATTCCAACTATCAATTATACGTATAAAATTGAATATTTGAAACTATTTAAGGTCGCTGATGCAAACTTAACTTTAAAACGGTGATTGGCTCTTAAAGGCCAAAAATCGAGTGCAAATGTGAAAAATGCAGAGGCATCAAGTCCATTAAGTCTATTTATTGTCTTAATATAACACTCGGCAAGTGACGAGAATAATCTTTGCTCAAGTGTTGGCCATTTAAGAAGTTTTAGGCGCTCTTTGTTGGTCATATCTTGCCCAATTTTTTAAAGGGCACATTTGGATGCTCTATGTTGTACCTTCTCCATGGTGTCTGAGTCTTTTTTAAGGTGCAGACACCAAACTGGGGAGCAGTACTCGAGTATTGGACAGACTAGGCTTTTATAAAGTTTAGAAAACAGCTCAGGGTTTTTAGGACCCACTGTTCGCCTTATGAATCCAAGTACATTGTTTGCCCTGTTTGTGCATTTGTTAGCTTGCATACTCCCCAACAAGTTTGAAGTAATGTAGATTCCGAGATCTTTAACTTCAGATACAGCTTTCAACTGGTTACCACATAAATAGTATTGAGGGCTTGAGAAATCATTCTTTTTAGAAATGCGCATCGCTTCACATTTATCTGTGTTAAACTTCAGCTGCCAGTCATTGCTCCAAGATTCCAGGTTAACAAGATCTTTCTGTAATTCTTCAACATCTTCCTTAGTATCCCTGAGTATCCTATACACCTTCACATAATCTGTGAAGAGTTTTGTGTTTGACATAATGTTTCTTAAAATATCATTAATATAAATGAGAAATAAAATCGGCCCCAGCATGGTTCGTTGAGGTACACCAGACAACTAAATTCCAAGATCAGCGATGTCCCGGCAGAACAACGTGTTGGTATCGATTGGTAAAAAAACATCTGAGCCAAGACAGGTGTGGGCCTTGGATACCATAAGCGTGCATCTTTGTCAGAAGGCGTTCATGTGGCACTGAGTCAAATGTCTTTGAAAGGTCTAAGAATATAACATCAGTTGACAACCCTTTGTTTCTCTCATGGGCCCAGTCATGAAATGAAGATAATAATTGAGAAAGACAAGAATTCCCTTTCAGGAAGCCAAATTGCTTTGGAATAAAGACCTTGTTTGCAGTCCAAAAGTGGACAAGCTGCTGTCTTACTATCACTTACCACACTTTGCACAACACTGATGTCAGTGAGACTGGATGATAGTTCTTTCAATTGGTTTTGATGCCTTTCTTATGTAAAGGAGTGATGTCAGCCAATTTCTAATTGTATGGTAACATGCCCAATGTAAAAGACACATTAAAAACATCACTTAGCAAGGAATCTAGGGTTCCAGTGCATTTCTTTAAGATCATGGGATGTATACTGTCTGGACCAGGAGATTTACAAGGTTTCAACTCACTTAAAATCTTGCTAACTGATCGTTACTTATCACCACTTACACGTCACTATTTAGTGCATCCATCTCAGGATTTACCATTCACTGTCCCTACTCTCTGAGAGCACTATTGGCTTTTAATTGGCTTTATGTGCTACATGTAGCAAAACCATGCAACCAGAACCTAAGTTGACTGTGCTGATTATTAATTTGATCATATGACCCATCTGGCTCCACCAGTGCGATGGCTAGTAATTCATTTTCTTTTACCACCCAACATAAGTCTGTGCTGTGATTTTTTAGTTTGACATTCTTGTTGAAATAGAAGGATAAAAGGTAATTAATAGCATTACCTTGCTCATGGCAATCTTCTCTTTCATAAGGTTCATAAAGGGCATATATTCCTCAGATGCCTGCATCAATATGTACTCTGCAAAGGCTAAAGTTTTACAAACTCAGTCAGCAGGTATAAATTATACACTTGCCTAAAGAAAGACGAGAGTTTCAGTTACTGTAAATCAAGGGATTAATCTTCACCTGTAGTAAAACCAATGAGAGCATTCTCTCCTCCATCAAATCCTGTTGTCCACCACTCATTGATTGGTCCTAAAGCTTTAGTGGGAACTCCACCTGAATATAAGGCAAATTTTAGCAAGTATATACATGTACGAATATCAATTTTTCAGTTTGTGTTCAATAGTTTTAGGATGACTGTAATAAGGATTTCCTTTTCTTTTCTAAGTATCTTAATCCAATGCTCGTATCTGAAATACCTTCTGGACTTGGATTTTCATCATAGATTGGTTTAAGGTATCCACTGAAGAATAGTTCTATGTTTTTTTCTATCAAGCCAGTGTCAAAAGGGCAGAGGTGGGTGTTCTTGTCATAGATGCTGTAATAATAACATGAAAAAGTCAGAAGAACTTGAAGACGAGTAAGGCAACTTGATGGACCACTATGATGCAAGTTACAATAGAACAGATCAAAAGAGGGACAAAAAGATAAGAACAGGTGGAGCAATGATGGCATGGCCCTGAGAAGAGAGATGAAGAGTTCTCATCGTCTTAACTTTATTTCATTTTATATATGTGACAATTGTAGAGATACAAAGATTTGTTACCTGAAATTTGTTATTTTGTGTTGTGGTCTGTCATTATAGCTGTCAAATTGTTCCTCTTCACCAGAGAACAGGGACAAGCGTGGATCCGTTAAGGCAACAAATTCTTCAACCTGGCAGTAAATATCAGTTGACATGTTAGAACAATCATACTGACCATGACCCTTAAGACATGCAGGCTAGAAGCAGAATATCTAATTTTAATATTTTTAAAAATGTCATGGGAAGAGAAAACTCTCAACTGACCTGGATTATGTATTAAATGTTGGCAGCCATGTTGTCAGTTATCAGTCATTGTAAATTTAAAGCAAAGTTTACCATAAGTGGTCATAAACAAAAACAATCCTTTCTATTTTTCTCTGAGAAAAATACAAACCTCAATATACATTTGTTAAACTTCAAGGAACCTTAAAAACTGCTGCCTCTTGGAGAGGAATATGCATTATAAACTTACTGCATCATCACCATCACCCAGAAAAAGTCGCAAGTCAGAACTGTCCAGAAGTTGCTTACACTCCTTACACTTGACAGGAGGCTACAAAATGATTAAACAAGTTATTATTATGTTAAAGAGAAATAGAGATGTCATTTGAAGAAAGATAATTACTAACATTGTCTTAGAGAAACCACTAAGAGGCAACAAAATAAATCTTTAAAAAATTCTGGTGTAAATCAAATTTAAACCTATAACTGTCCTGCAACTGATGTTTGTCTTAACACCAAATACTTGACCTAAACCCAGAAAATAGGTCCACCCTTCATTGCTGGACATCACCAGAACATAAAGCTATTAAATTCAATATTGAAAAGAAATGGCAGATGATAAAATTGGAATGGGAAAATTTTCCAACCCTTGCCACAAATGTCAGAAGTTAGCATAACAGTCTCCAATTTTCATGACACAGAGATAAACAATTTAAGATTTTACTCATTTCCCACACTCCCAAGAAATGCATTAATGTCTTAAGAATTTACACTGAGGTCTTCAGTATGTCAGAAAAATTGAAAAAAAATTTCAGCACCTGTGTTTTTTCCCCTTCACACTTTACTGCTACAGAAGATTCTCTTAACTTATATCTGTTGAGCAAAAAATAATGAACACTGAAATGCTATGAAAAGAAAAAGTGTATCTATAACATTATCACAGCAAAATATTGAACAGTTAAACCCATAATTACTATGACTTGCATGAGGTATAGATGTTGTGGTTAAATTTTTTCTTTTAGTTAGTTTTATTTTTAATGAGGTACATCGTTTTTTAACTTCAATTTGGTAAATTATTGTAACGGTAGATAACTTTTTCAGTCAGCTGTCAAGAAAAGGGATTTTATTTATGAGGTGTGGTAAAAATTTCATATTTGCCCCCGAAGCTTCGCTTCTCAGCCAAATATTAATTTTTTGGACAATCTCTCAGCTGCAAACATTATCAGCCGACATACCAGCCGCCCAAAGGGGTTTATTTACTAAATATTCAAGCTTTCAAACTTGAATGAGTATTATTTTGTGAAGCTCTAGATTCTTACCTCTCTGGTCCACTTCCTGTTTCTGTTTCTGACAATTCTATTTCTTTTTCACCAGTGCTTCCATCCTCTGACATTTTAAGACGTTTGTTAACCTGCACATTGAACATACTGATTAACATTGATGTTGACATTTTTATTGTAAAATCCAAATTTATGTTCATTTTAATAATGAAGTGTTACAATGAAAGTGGACAACATACTTTGCTATTGACATTGTTTGGTGAATCTTCATTGGTTTTACCAGCATCTTCAGTATCATCTATTGTATTCTTTCTTTTAACAGGCCTACAATTAACAGTCATTTAATTAATGATAATAATAATTCTAATACAATCCAATACTTATTATACAAGGTTGTTAATTAAGTTTCACGGGTAATGGAAGTGACAAAAGTTCTACTAGACACATTTTCAAGGTGGATCAAACATACTGAAATGTAACGACCCCACTATGGAGTGGTCTAGTTACAACTGGAGGCCATAACATCTCAGTGCATGGCTGGCTCTTTGAGATTTCACACTTTGCATAAATAGTGCTAGTAACTATCTGCCTGGGAGTTATCAAATATAGATTTTTTTGTGGAAATCCAATTTAAGTGCTGAGAAGTAACTTCCAATGGTCTCACTTCCCATCCAAAAAAGATTGAAGGTACCCACACTGTTATTATACTTAGATGTATAGATGTATCTTTTACCATGTATCTTTTACCATGTCCTATGAACCGTCACTTAGAAAAGTATGTGTTAAGTAGTTACGACCTCAGGAGGAAAATGACATTTTAAGTTACCTAGACCTAAGACAGATATAGTCAAGAAATCATGCTCATACAAGTCAATTACTCGGTGGAATGCTCTGGAAAATCCAAAGAGATCAATTCAAGATGTTGACACTTTTAAAAAGTCACTCAAGTGTATTATAAGCCATGTATATTATAATGATGTACTATGTAGAATTTTTATTGTTGTAAATATGTAGAAATCTTACATTAGTCTTCTTGCAATTAGTTAGGAATTTAGTTTTATTGTTTGTACCTGACCACATCAGCTTTCGCTGAATTTTTTATCATGTTTAAATAAATGCTGTTGTTGTTGTTGTTGCTGTTGTTATGTACTTGACAAGAGCCAAAAAAAATGTGTTGAGCAAATATCGCCTCTGTTTCTCTTAAAAAAGAGACCATTACAATTCTACAATTCCTACACATCAAAGGATTCAAAAGGTTTCTGATTCACATTTCTTCCTTTTTGCCAGAAGTACATTAAATGGATACATTTGCCAAAGTCAGGTTCTTTGAACCCTGACCATTACATTTCTGCCACATGGGGTCAAGTATATTAAAAATGTAGTTGAATAAATCTCTTAAATATTATTCACTACTATGACTTAATTTTTAATGATATCTACATGTATCTTACCCCTTGGTAAACATCTCTTTGATACCAAGTTGCCGGCTAGTCTCTTTTCTCAGTTTGGATTTTTTCTACAAAAGTATTTTTCCAGTTAGACAACCTGGACCTAACTTTTGTTAACATTCTTTGAAGCCACTTATAACAGCAACATTTTGTTAGTCATTGTGATCTCCAGGTATGTGTCACAATCTTGACAACGGTAATTATTAGTTCTTTAAAGAGAAGATGCATTTCACAAGTCTTAATGTATTTCCAAATTTAGAAATAATTAATTCAAACAAATTGGAACATAAAGAGTGTTTAGAACCCCACTGATTGACAAGAAGGCTGTAAACAAAGAGCAGCCAAGGAGTTAAACTTGGGGCAATTGAAAACAAATCCACTGAGTGGCAAGGTGGAGAAATTGAACTCAGAACTAATGGATTACAAGGGCAATGTCTTAACCCTTTGATCACTATGCATCCTCCAACCTTCCATACAAAAACCAACTCTTTGGGTACCTTATCCTCTGAGTCAGGAGAGGATTTCTTTAATGGCAAAGATGACCCTGTGAAAGGGGAAAAAGCCAGAGAGCAAAATTAAATAAGCAAGAAAGTGGAGGTACAATATCATAACTCAGAAATTTAATTATAATGCATTACAAATAATGAGATGATGAAGTTAACTGGTAATATAACACCCTAAGAAGCATTATACAGAGCACTTTTAAAGATCATGTTAGAGAACTTGATGTTCAAAGTGATGACCATTGTAATGTTGATTACATGACAGGTAAACTGCAGAACTAAGCCCCCGAAGGAAACTATACTCAAGTATGGTCCAAACATGTGATCCACATTAGAATAAATTAATATTTTATTATCATTATAGATCATCAAGACGAATAACCACAACCTTTATCACACTGAGTAATTTGTCACACGATATGTACCTCCTTTGCTGGTGGATAATAAAGCTGTCTGAGCTCCATCTTCATTATGGCTTTCGACTGAATTTCCATCTGAAGCCCCTGTAGTTGGGTTAATCATTGGCTTATCATCTGAGTCATCAGTCTGCATAATTTCATCAGAGTTTGTTCCTGAAGCACCAGCATCACGATCAGCCTCGTCATTACTTCTTGTTTCACTTAATAGAGTATTGCTGAGGGCTGCTTCTCCCGTCTCCATTCGTTCTTCTTTCAAAGCTGGCACAGAGCCATTTTGATCTTCATTAGCTGATGCTGGAGATAATGGAATGGCACCACATCCATTGCTAGCTCTGTGACCAATCTGAGAGAGTAGGTCTTTCAACTGGTTTATAAGCTGCTCCTGAAGCAGTGAGTAAAAAATGAAAATATGATCTGAAATTGCAATTGCTTTGAATGTGCATTGCATTAACAAACCATAATGTTACAGCTCAACACTTGGAATGCAAACAACATATCAAAATGTGATTATGTTGAAGACCAAAAATATTGTCGACTGAATCAGGAACTTACTTCGGTTGATTTCCCTTCTTTGTAATCATCTTGAGCTTTCTGAATCCTACGATATCGATAAAACAGCGGTTTTTTAAATTAAATCCGGAGAAAAGATGATGACTAATTTTACCAAATTTTTTTTCTGCGATCACCCTTCTCTCAACTGCAACACCACCAATAATAATTATAATTAAAGTCCGCTTTTTATCAGGTAGCTTAAGGCCATTTTAGTAACTCACGATTACAATCAATGCAAAACAAAAAAACAAAAAACACACACACTCACACATACACAAACAACAGCAACAAAATTAAAACAAACACAGGCAAAATATCCAAAACAAAACCAAAAAAATCTAAAGCTTACTTTTCCTGTACTGAGTCGGCCAACAACGGTTTTATAAGCTTCAGCTTTTTCATCACATAGCCCTGTATAGGAAAGAATCTATACATATAAATGGCTGACGGTCTGAAATTTTCACAGAATTTACCACTGAAAGGTTCTTTCAGGTCTGCCAAAAATTGATCCTCTTGCAAATGCCCTACGCTGTATTAAATAGTAGAAATAATTATAGGAGATTACATTTGAGAGGCTGAACTTTACCTTCTCGGTGAAAACGCCGTCTTTATATTCCTCAGCGAGCTCTATTAACCTGAAAGTACAGAAAACAGTAAGCAATCTTGATTAATCCGAAAGTCTTTAAATTCAACTGAAGTAAAACCAGAGGTTGATTCATCAGTGATCGCTCGGTATCTGCTAAAATTTGTCAAATCTTGACCAATATTTTAGTGTGACCACTGATTCTTACCGTTCAGAGATTTCTGTTGGGTAATCACTTTCAATCTCATGGACCATTTTTCCTGATCGAAGAAATTTCGGCGAATTAATGTGGATTTTGTTGTGATTGAAAGCTGTCTGTCGATGGACACGATCGCGTGGAATGTTGACTGGTTGATTTCCCGCCAAAATTTATTTGCGCAGGCGTTTCGCGATACTAGTCACCAGTCATCATTATAACGCTCTTTCAAGATCAACGTTAATGGAGGCAAAATGAATTTCTAAAGAAGAATTTACGTGTGAAATGCCGAATTTTCGGCATGGGTTCGCAGAGTCAGTCAGACACAAGTCAACTTTCCTCTCTTATCGTATCCTTTGTTACTCAGCGAGCGAGTATGGTGCAGTATTAGAGTTGTCAGACAACTCGAAAGTGTTCTCTAGACAACTCGCTTTGGAGCCTGAAAGCGAACGAGATTGAAAATAACCTTGCAAGAAATAGCTACCGGACTAGTTTGCTCTGTTACTAAAAAAAGGAAAACTTTTATTCCTATGAATGGCTAACTTAGCTCAGAGCAATAAGTGCGTGGACTGTTAAAAGCCATCTGTACCTACCACTTTTCCACTGTTGAACCACTTTAGTATGAATTGTAAGACTATCGATCAGCGCTTAGTCAGTTTTATTCATTATAAATCTAATCAAGGTTTATTTAGAGTTTCGTAATTTTTCCCATTATTCCAGTCGTCAAAAAAATTTGACCTAATATTTTTGATATAGGTGTAGTGCGTATGATACCAAGGGGTTTCCAGCAGCATTGAATAAAATCTCGCATTCTGATCGGTTAAGGAAGCGTGGCATTGCGACTGAGTGGAGTGTGATTTGGTCTGTAGTCAGAAGAGTGACTGACACAATCCGCAGGGCCCAGTTGTTCGAAGACCGATTAGCGCTAACCCAGGGTTAAATTTTAATCCAGGTTTTATATTTCTCTGTTCAAAAGCCGTTTTAAAATAATTTTCCCGATTCTTCTAAGAGCATTCAATCAACAAATTGTGAACAAATGGAATTAAAGTGAAATTAATTTTAAAGCTTTCAGATCTTCAATTAAATTTCACGGTAACCCTGGATTATTTTAACCCACCTTTGAACAACCCTGCCCAGATGTCTAGGAAGCAGGAGTCTGATTTGGTTATCACAAGTATGATTAAATGTACATAAATATAAAGTATGATTGGTAACAGCACAAAGTGCTGTTACCAATTATCAAAATTCCAGAAAAAAACTGGACAAAGGTTATACATTTTTAAATAAAAAAAAGACAACAGTAACTCAGCAAAATGTGTGACTACAAACCAAATTGGATGACATAAAGTCCTGTTACCAATTAGTTATAACCATTGCAATTTCTGAATAAAAAAAAAGCATATACATTAAGTTGAGAAAATATCTCCAGTAGAGAGAGGCTACAGAGTAAATTATTTCTATTTGGGAAGTTCCCTAGTTTTGTTAGGTAAGTTTTTGTTGCTTTGGTTATTGTAATCAATTCTGTGATTGGTGGATTTAGCAGAGTAGACTTAGTTTGATTGACTGTTTTAACTTGTGTGATTACAGGTGTCCAATTACAGCCAACTGTCACTAGATTACAACTCTATAGAATAATGAGGGAAAACAAAGCAGCTAATGCACCAATCACATTTGAAGAATTTGTCATGGCTATGATTAGATCTGTTATCATACAAGTGATAAACAAAATTTAATGATTATAACAGGGAGTCCAATTTATTAATTTATTACAGAATTGGACAACACAGAGTTCAGCTGCTTTCAGTTAATCAAAACTATGTAAGAGACAAACTAGCCATGGATTACATTTTTCATAAGAAAAGCCATTAACTCTGTGAGCTATCCAATTACAAGCATGACACATACAGTTTCCAATTAGCACTCCAGTCAGGCTGGTTCTAGTTCTAATTAAAGTGACAATCTGACAAGGATAAGTTGTGAATGAGACCTACCCTAAAAAATCAGCTTGAGAGTAATAACATGCTTAGATAATGTAGCATTCCAACCACTAGTGTGGCTTATCTTACAGTAGTAATAGTAGTAAATTTATACCTTAACATTCATTCAATTGTATCAGAAATCATTTAGTGAGACTCCAGATAGAAGAGAAAAGCTAGGTATTGTTCTATAAAGGATAATTTTCGTATTGTCTAATTGTATTATTAACATGTTCTCTCAAGCTAAACTACTAGCTGCTACATCTAAAGCTACAGATGCTGACTTTAAATCACAATAACTTTAATGCTGATAGTGTGGTGGTTGTGATTATCATTACTATTATTATTGTAATCTTTTTTTCTATCAAACATGTATCTATGGATTCAAGCTAAAAGTATTTTGTTTTGTTAGGTTATTTGAAAAACCTCACAAGTCAAATTCTTCCTGGTTTGACCCTAGTTGAATTAGAAGCCAAATTTTTCTCAAGAATCTTGCCAAAGGTACTTTTTCAAGCTATGTTTTCCACCCAAGAGAACACAAAATCCCATTCTAGAAATCTACTGGTAATTCAGCCTGTAGTCATTAAATAGAATAAATGTAATTTTCATAGTACACAAAAATAGATAATTGAATCACAAGAAATAGTCACACTTGGTTCCCCTTTCCATGGATTATATGAAATATCTAATCATTATATTTAACCCTTCAATCCTCAAGCAGAACTAGTTCTCATGTCTCCTTTCAGCATTAGCCTCGGATTCATTTTAAAGGTCACTAATAAGAATAAAGGAAATCATCTCAAATTTGTTTATTAAGAAGCTCTTGATAGTCACAAATTTTCCCTGTCAATACCCTTGGAATGTAAAAAGAACAGAGCAGGAAAAATAAATATTTATGTTAGGGTGTAAAAAGGTTAAGTCATAAACTAGCTACAGATCAAAATTGTTTTACCAGCTTTTTTGTATTTTTCTCATTTCTGGATCATCTACTGCCTAAGTAACAGTATTCTTCCAATACAAAAAAGATATTTTTCAAACTAGGTTAAGTTTTTTTGAGCTTTTGTTTTAAACTAGAGTTCTATTTGTTCACTGTTTCAACTGTCTGTTAGGTATATGATGCTGTTTCAGAGGCCATTTTGGAAGTAGAGAAGATCATAAAGTCACTTCAAGCACAGACTGTTGATGAAGAAAGAAGCTGTGACAGATTACAGATGGTCCAGTCACTTCTACAGGTTTGTGTTTATGCTTTGATCACAATCATACTGTCATGACAATAATGCAGCCAGGTGTTTGATATCCTGAAATCCTTCTTTTTCAAACTTGCTGGGGAAAAAGAAATCTGATTGATCAACTAGGAGAAGGTTGAAAAGCTTGTTTTGTGAATTGGAGGGTGTGAGCACAGATTGTGGGATTTTCCCATCTGCCAAATGAACCAGGAAATTACAATTGGTGTTTAATAGGAACATGAGTTAACATCTAGCAGCCTTATGCAGTGTCAAGTGCCTACTTTGTGCAATATCATACCTTGTTCTTGTAAAATTTTGCTCTGTTTATTTGCAGTTGGTCATCGAATTCATGGAATGTCTGGAAACTTGTATAGGCATTGTGACTCAACTTTCCCTTACAGAGGAACTCTTTATTGAACATGTCCACTCTCTGCCATCAGCTGTACTGCTGACTGTGAATGCTACATTTAAACACTGCAAGGTATATTCTTATTAACACCTTCTTGCAAAAAAAACTTGTATGTAACTAGTTGCAATTGTTTAGAATTTATAAAAGAAAGTTTGATCAAATGGTATTCACTTTACAAATTTGTGATTTGCCATTGCAGGATAGTGAAAAGGTTTATGGTGATTTCTTCCATGTTGTATCTCAGGATCTGGCCATGTTGTTTAAAAGATCTTACCAGCTACAGAAGGTGCATTGGTCTACTACTGTATATCCTAAGGAATTATTTTTTTTGTTTTTAGATGCTGATACCCTTGGCCACCCCTTAAAATGAAAAGGGAGAAGGGGTTTAAAAATGTGTATTTAATGAAGGAAAGACTGTAAATAAAAACAAGAAATTTCCCTACGTATAGGATATTGATCAAATTAAAACACATTGGGGTCTATGGTGCTGTTATGGTTACTATCTGTATCTATGTGAATTCCAACTTAAAAACTAAAATACAAACATCATTGCACTAATACTATGTGCTGGAGAAATGCTCGATCCATAATGAAACTGTTGGAATCAAATGAGTATCAACAGTCGGAAAAATATTACCAAACTGTCTTGTTTAAAAAAGGGATTAATGGAGTTACTTGACAAAGTCCAATTTAATGATGATGCATCTGATGAGGATGTCAAAGATATTACAGAAGGTAGGATGTGGATTACGCAATGATTATATGTTAAATTACTTTTATGAGAGCTGTCTAAAAGACTTCAGCCAGAGGGAGAATTATAGAAAAAACTTGTTAGCCAGAGAATTGAATCATGCAATTTCTAGCAGTTGAGAACCTAAGAGTTATGCACTGCTACTGTTGGTTTTCTGTCTTGTAATCTAATATGTAAAAACTGTGTTAAGCATTTCAACACATCTCCTTGTAAGAACAAATACTCCCTTTCTTGCTTTAGTATTCTGGATTCTGCTAACAGCTCAATTGATTTAAAACTCAAAAGAAGCTTTTTATATAAATAAGACCAAACCTGAGCTTAACAAACAATTACAACATTATAACACTTTTTTAGCATTTTAGTTCACACCTTTGATGTTTGGTGTCATGTTGTAATTAGTACCCGCCTTTGTATTACATCATACTGTAAATATTTTATTCATCTACTTGTATGCTATATAATTACTTACGTTCAGTTACTCATTGATTGAAGATGGCATAAGCATGCCGAAACATGTCTCTCAAAAACGTTGTCTATTTCTTACAATATAGTAATGTTATAGTTTATTTTCACTGGGTGATGCATGTACTGTGCTCATGTCACTTGCTGGTTTTTCTTTTGTGACCCAGTGTGTCATCAGCTTCTTGAAATTTGCATTCTCATTGGTGATTTGGATACAAGTATACTGGTGAACACCTGGAAAGTGTTAAAAAAGTAAGGGATCATTAATAACCTAAATTAGCAGTAGTAAATAGGGTTTAGTGTTATAAACATTTAAATACTGAAATATGTGCTTTTAGCTTTGTGATAGACCTGCTTTGATGGGATCATGTTTAGATTCATAATCATTATCAGTCTGCATGTATATCAGTGAGTTCCCCTTAGGATTTAGACGTCAATACTGATAAGTACCCTTGGCACTAATGCCAGCCCTTATCATAGTGAGTATCTTCTATTATTGTAATACACTTGCTGTTTCACTGCAAGTTAGGATACAAATTTAAGTTGTGCAATTAAAGCATACAGTAAATCAAATTTTTGGGGCTCAACAGACTATTAACCAAGCATAGAGATCATATCAAGAGCTATTTAGAGGTAAGTAAATAAGTTTCTGAAGTTTTGGTGAAAATCTTTATCATGAGCATAGATTCTGAGTATAATCATTTACAGTTAACTTTTAATAATCTATAGTGAATAAGAGTACCCTTGTATATGTAAGGCAAGAGAGACACTCTCTGGTATAAAGACTGATAGTTTCTAAAGAAACTATGAGGGGCTGTGTCAGTGGGGGTAACAAAATAATTTGGATATATCAACAAAGTTGAAATGGTGTTTCGAGCATTAGCCCTTCATCAGAGCGAATGGTATAGCCAGTTAGGTACTTTGTAGTTAAATTGGATTTACACATATAGAATTAATTAGTCTTTGTACAGATACAGTCACTGTGTCATATCTAGATTTGTACACAGTCATACACCTGTATTTCAATAAGACCCAGCAGGTACCTGGTCTTATTGAAATCTCTGTTACTTACAATGGCCTTCTGTTACAGGTGGACAGGTTGATATGTCATTTGTGTGACTCAATTGAGACCAAACTAATGCGATGTATAGAACTTGCCCCATTTAAAGCAGAAGATTGTTCTGATGATCAAAAGGTTAGCCAAAGGATTGTCTTATTTAGTGAAGACAAAATGTATTCATGATTGTTCAGATTTGCCACCTGATTCCTGAACTTGTTGTAATAGATGTTGACTGATTTCTCAGGTTACTGGTTCTAATGGTGATGAAGTTGCTCTGACTAAGATGCTCAAAGTCATGCGATTTTTAGTGGGTCACCTTGTTCATCTTACAAAGGTGAGCAAATCAGGTCAACACTAGATTCTGTTAATAAATCCTTTCTTTGATATATATATATATATATATATAAACAGAATAAAAAGGTAAACCAAACGATGAGCTCCCAGTAGAAGGATCCGCGGAGGATACAGTGCTTCAATGAAATTATTAAGTAAGTGTAAAATGTATTTACATAAATATGTTCCACCTGAAGAAGGCCAAAGGCCAAAACGTCGCCACATTAAAGCTGGAACAGTAGGAAGTTTGCTTCATGTTTCATCATTTTACACTTACTTTATATATATATATATATATATATATATATAGATATGTGTGTGTGTGTGTGTGTGTGTATATATGGGTTGTCCTGATAGTGTAGTGGTCTTCACACCTGACTAGTAACAGGGGGACGTTGGTTCAAATCCCGCTCAGGGCAAATTTTCTTTTCAAGCATTTATTCTATTTATGTATCTGTATATATATATTTATTAAAAACTAGATCATTGGATAATGCAATTCAAGACTTTTTATTGGCTTAGCCATTATGGTATATCAGCCAATATACCATAATCTACAAATATGGCAAGCGTACGTGTCAGATTAAAATTAAAAGGGAGCTAAAAATTGAATAAAATTTAATTTAATTTAACGTTTTTAATAAAACAATTATTCCACTCGCGCTTGTTGGATATGAGATGATTATAGCCAACTCGGCGCTACGCGCCTCGTTGGCTATCTATCATCTCATATCCAATGCGCGCTCGTGGAATAATTGTTAAATATATACACACATACAGTGTGAGTAGTTTGTTGTAGTTTAATACTGAATTCAAGCACATTTATTTATTTATTTATTTACTTGTTCCTTTTGCCATGAACATCTTTACAGGAATATGATGGTTATTATGACACATGTTTGGAAAAAATTTTTAATTTTCTGTTAATGATTCAAAGGTATGTGTAAAACCCTGTTTTGATTTTACTCGGAAAAACTTAAAATGCCTTTTAGTTGATAAAGGAAACCATCTGTCCCCCTAATTTTCATAATACATATTCACTGGCACCCCATAAAAGTCTATCTCTATGAACTAGCTAGTGTTAGTCAAAGTGTATAATGACTGATCCTCTATTTCCATGGCTTAGCAATTTACCTCCAAGTCTGAGTGCTCCAAAAATTGATGCTTGTGCAGTTCAGGGTATAAAATCAGCCTTATT